TGCAATTGCAGGAGAAGGCATGCACTAAGCCGATCAGAATGAAAAGATTGGACGCTGTTGTCACAACATGTATTTCGTTTGAATGCTGTTAACCGGCATATCTCATTCACTCTATTAATAAAAATAGCAAAATGGCATCCGAGTACAATATTATAACAGTTCACAAACAAAACAAAGGCCTTCTACTTGTCAGAAAGCATGAAACACAAAGAACTGTTGTGATTTAAGTGAAATAAATATTGAATTTTTGTTTTAGAATAAAGTAAAGTAATCAAGACAGCCATACTTCATTAACTTATTTGATTGCACACCTTTAAATATTGCTCAAATGTTCAAATTTTGAATTTCCGAATTCGTCCCTGAGTGAATCCACTTTCCTTTATTAATCAGTTAATGAATGAGGGAGGTTTGCCAATCTCATTCAAACATCTTCCCTTCTCATTGGCTATTTAAACAGGTACCAGCTAACGTAATTTTTTCCATAACAGAGCTCAATTGATTGAACTCAAGTTAAACTGTACATCACCTATTATATTCAGAATAGATAACTAACTTCAATTCAGCTGCAGGACTAAATAAACCGCGGATTAAATTAAATGGCATTTGAATTAGTCTAAAATAAAGGTTTAAAATCTCCAAACTATCAGAATTCATTATTTGGCGTTAATTTCTACCCTTTTAAGAAAGCAGAAAGAAGAAAATTTGAAGCTAATTGTATTTTAGGGAAAATTCTCTTTGCATGAACTAGATGCGAACGAGTCAGCAACTGTTCGCGTCTTGTTCAATTTCGAGAGAATTGAAATTGAGTTTTTTACTCAATAAAGTTACAACAGTTTGAAATAAGATGCGTTTTATTAAAAATAACTCAAGCTTATTTATCTATAACTAAATTTTCTCAGTTTAATTTCAGCTGAAATCCCATAAATTTGCGTCTGTATATCATTTTATGAAGAACAAATTCTGGAAGTGGTCTGGATTTGAAATGACATTTGTAAACGAAAAAATTTGAGAGCATCCATTGTCAATAATAAGTAAATGTCTTTCTTTTTTGGTAACATTTAAATCAACAAATTGCTGAATGCTACGGTAGAGACTTAAGCTAAAGGTTCAAACAAATTGAAAAGTCATCTACTTCTTCTTTTCCCAAAGTAATTTAAGGATGACAGATTCCATCTTCGACAACCTGTGGTTTTTTTTATGATTTCTAATGTGCATAACTATTCTTATAATTTTAATAGCAAGTTAAATAAGAACTTTTGATGATAGTTCTCTTTTAAGAGCACATAGAAAAAAGAATAGACATTCAGGTGAATTGGCCGTATTAACCATTCTCAATGACTCACAGGTTCAAACTTACCTTTTTAGCCGACAATGCAATAATATTTTTTTGGGTTTTCTTTTAAAATGAACAAGTTTCGCAATAGATGATTTCAAAATTACTTCCAAATTTTCCCACAAAAGTTTATTAAAGATTTGAAGAAACTACAAGGCACCAGCCCATGTAATAATGGTACTTCTAATGATGAGAACTTATTTCACTAAAATTTAAGACTGATTGAAATGAAGTATCTACCTGGCAAATGGTTTCATTATCTCGTCTAAGTTTCTCCGCGTTAATTCGTTCCTTCTCCAATTCGCCTTCGAGATCATTAAGTCTTCGCTGAAGAGCCGCTATTTCACCGTCTCTCTTATTCATCTCATCAAACTCCTGTTCAAGACGCTTCTTAACCTGGTCATTCTCGTTTGTCAGCTTATTAAGTCTATAAAGAAAAAAATGATTTTCAAATAAAACATTTACTGAATTAATTCAGTAAAACTTCCTATTAAATGCATCTATTTAATACCGTTCTTCCTGATTCCTGCTGAATTGTTGTAGGGAAAGGAGCTTGGCGACACTCTCTGCCTTTTCTCTATCGGCATCGTCTAGAAGTTGGCGAAGTTGTCGTAACTCTCCCTCGTATAGTTCTTTAGTCTTTTCGGACTCTGCTATCCAACGAGATTTCAGATTGTCGATATCATCAGTCAATTGACGATTGCGAGCAGATAAATATCTCATCTAAGTGAAATAATTACAAATTAAATTAATAACTAACGTCAGATTTATTCTTTGCTAAAATTAAAGCTTAAAAGATATTTGTTCATAAATAAGTATATATATAATTTTAAATTCAAAGTTAAACTCATACTTCTAATTACATATATATTTGGTTGATTATTTCAGTCATAATCCAAAATGACAATATCTTGCTTGCAAGAATGCATGGCAGTTTTAAATTTTATGTCAAAATTAAACCCAATTTTGCTGGAAAAATTCATTTGCGCTGGCCGATTTTGCCTAAATCAGGTTTTCGCTTCTGTTTTAGTTCGGCCTCATAGAGTCGTTTGATGGATATAGATAAAGCAATGCGAAAATCGGTAATCTATTATTCAGTTTTCCTGTTACTAATGAAAACAAAATATTATAAAAAATTCATTTTGCTCTTTTTTGTTTAAAAAGAGTAAGGAAAAATAATAATATTTACCATTTTTCCATGCTCTATTAAAAAATATCAACAACAAATAAGTGTTCGGAGATATCTTAAACGGAAATAACTTCACCAGACTATTGTTCTTTGCCAAAGCCATGATTTTATTAAATTGATTTCTTCTAGCTTAGAAGGCCAAATTTTTTCCCAAGCCTATATATAGGCCAAATTATATTGGAAACTAACAATAGGAACTCAAAAGAGAAAAATGTAAATCAAGGGTACGCAATGCTTCTGTTTGATATAAAAGAAACGGTGTGTAAAATCACAAGCCAATTAAATGAATCACCGAAAAGATCATGAAATCAATAATTGATTTGTGTGAGCAAACAGACAATCGATTAAGAAAATTATTTCACCTTGAACAATTGGAGTAAGCTTACTGTTAGAAGTAATTCCAAAAAGCAAGTTCAAAATTATTTTATAGCATAAATTTAATATTGGTACCCTTAAATATATCATTCAATTAATCATCCATTGCAAAATTTTAAACTCAGGACCCACAATGAATTTAAAAAAGATCATCTGAAAAATTTCTTTGTCTAACTATGCTCCATAAAATATTTAAATCGCAAAAAAAGATATGAAAACGTACATTTTCATTCATTTCAATCGGCCTATCAAACGTGCGTTACCTGTGAAGAAGCTACGATATATTGCATGTGTGTGTGAAATGCTCACCGCCGTGAATGATAGACTAACGCAATTTTTGCTCTCACGAAGTAGGGCGTTTTTGTAGGGTTTATGAGTACGGTATGCTCGTGAAGGCAGTCGATGTACATTTCCCTGCCTAAACAAATCACTTAACCAAAAGTTGGGGTTTAAAGTTTAGGGGGTGATTCATTCAAATATAACCATATTTCCCACTGCGTAGTTGGTGGGACGCCTATTTCCATTAAGCAGATCAGATCAAGGCGAGTAAATAATTAAGACAATCAGATTATATAAAAATTATTAAGTCACCTTGATTTAAGTAGTAATTTAGTAGAAATCTCAATTTCCATAGGCCGAGTCCGCTTTTTCTGTTTTCATAAACAAAATTTCTAAATCCTCTGTTTTTAATTTAATTTTTGCATTAAGCGCATTGGGAATTTTTTCTTTTCCACCATTTAAAAGAGTATGTTATATTGATCTTAAAAAATAAACGACTTTGTACACCCTGTCTAAGACTAACATTCAGTTTCGACTGAAATTTATTACTTAAAACTGTGCAAATACTTGGTGACTTTTTATGGTTTTGGGCTGTAAATATCGATTACTACGCTTCCTCATTTATATAAAACATTTCCAATCTCAGTTTTGATGTTAACTCTCATTGGTCGACACCAACCTGGTGGATTGTTATACTAGTGCTGAAATGCGAAAAGTTAAGTTAAATTCAATAAAAAAATCTCCTATAGGCAACCACTTATTTGACTTATTGGAGGGGATATTAATTAATGAACACGTACTCAAGTGCAACATTAATGCTAAAATATATTTAAATGCAGTCCTTTACGATGAATGTATCACGAAATCCTGCGTTACATGCGGGAAAAATGTCACAAAAGGAAAATTAATTGCGTGCCTTCAAGAAATCACGCAGAGGTGGGATATAAAGCGGGAAGTTTGTAAAATGTTGAAGAAAATATTAACAATTTAAATACATCTCTCCTCTGCTATGTTGAACACGTAAGCTGCTGAATGTCTTAAATCATTGAACCATATGAGTAACCACTGTTACTAGAAAACGGTCAATAAGCCCTGGACGTAGTAGACAAGTGCATGCTTCATTTCGGAGCGAGAGGTCGAGAGGGGGGGGGTGGCGTAAGTAACCCCCTTTGTAAATAATGCACAGCCCGAATCCTAAAACAGTTAATGAAGTAGGATCGTCTTAAGACTTGATGCAGGACTCAGTTTCTTTCTTATAAGGTGGACATACCGTTGGACGATTTTAGTGGTTATTTTTATTTTCATGGGTAATATTAATCTTATCTTCTAATGCTGGTCGGTAAATCATATCGAATATGTCCAGCCAATGGAAACTAAAAATCCAGTGAAGACTAGTTAGTTTCTTAAAAGCGGTGCTTTACTTTTCAAACCCACAGCAACGGATTGTTTATCATTAATCATTCAATAGAAGTAAGTCGCTATCTCGATAGCAACGGTCAAGGGTGCTTAAAAGACTTTGTAACTACTGAAATTTAAATACCAACTTGAAATAATCATGGATATATTTTAAAGCGAGAAAATTATTGTAAACCCTTGTTCATATTACAATTTTTATGCAAACATTGAAATTCATATGCTTCCCTTTGCGGAATGGGGAAAGGGTGTTGCTCTAGGCTGACAATAATCAGATGTAACTATAACAACAAATAAGGAAATTTTTGAGTAGATGAATCATCTGTCGTTAGCCCTTTATAGCTGCTCTATTACTTGAGTTTATATGACAATACCAGCCGTCTTGAGAGAAGGGGAATCGCTCAAATGGGGAGATCACCTTCACGAAATTTGTAGGGAGTATGCATGCGGCAAGTAAAACACAGGTTTTCACCTGCGATTACAGAAAGCTTTAATTCAACTAAACGCTGGACAGAAATTGAGATGCAAGTGACGCAACCAAACATTCTTTCAACCTTCACAATTTCAGACGATGACTTTCTTCTGGCCTCCAACAACTTAAAGCTGAATTTTAAAATTGGTGACCTGAATTCCCAAGGTCATGAAAAGTACTTTTATTTTCCTCCGTTTATTTTGAAAAATTATCTCTTGAAAAGAAAGAGATTTTTCTAGTTTATCTTCTTCTCATGGCGAAACGGGAATAGTTAAAGCTACGCATCTTTGCGCCTAATTCATTCCTATAATGAGACCTTTAAGACTCATCCTTATTCTTCAGGTACTGATTACAATGCAAATTTATGTTTACAATTTGATGAAATGATTTATAAAGCTATTTATTAGCTAATCATAAGGCCATATCTGTTTAAATAAAGGCTAATTAATTAAAATATTGTGTTTGAAATCAATCCTAAACGGTTTGAGAACTGTGTAAATACTTGGAAAATTTAAACACGGCAGGTTTGAAACAAATAATTCATATATATATATATTGAATGAAAATCGATCTTAAACTGCATGAAAAAGCTAAATCTGCTTAATGATTCAAATTATAATTTTGCAAATAATGAGCATTAATTTTGGTGTAAATTTAATTGCTGGAAATTTTAAAGGTAAGTTGATTTGTAGATTAATTATTAACAAGAGTTGAAATGACTATAAAGCATATTATTATGAAATACTCACGCCTTCAACCTGTTCTGCAAGCTTTTCATTTAATTCCCTCATATCCCTTCGACTTCGTTCTCTCTCCTCTCTTTTATTTCTCATATCCGGAATATCTAACTCGAAAGCACTTCTAGAAAGTCGATCCACCGATCGACTAGGGGCACGAAGTGGCATGCTCGTCTTTTGGGGTAATGTGATCTCTTCCGCAGTAGACTCCCAAGAATAAACAGCCAAAGGGGGACTTAATTCGTTCCCTTCAAGGTCACTTGCAGTAGCAGTGTTAGTCACAAATCCGCTGTCTTGACTCCTTACACCTGCTGAGTAGGGACGGTTTGATTGTCTGCGGCTTTTAGTGTATATTGATGACTTGGAAACGCCTAAATTTTAAAGTAGGATCGTTTTAGTATGTCTAAGTTTACTTAGAGGATAGTCTGTTCGAGTAGAGCTCCAGGACATGCTCTACGAAAGTGACGACATATGTAAAAAAACTCTAAAGAGAAGTGGCGTAGTTTGACCATCCCGCTGTGTCCTTCAGGTCTAAATTGACCTGTGATTGGTCAGTTTTAGATAGTTTGGGGTGTGCGCCTTGGGCGTCAACCCTGCTCTGAATTAGGTAATACTTGGGCTGGCCTCGCCATGCCATTAGTGAGCTGCTGGCTTTAATAGATATTACATTCAAAAGCATATATATTTATCCAAAATTATAAATATCAACCAATTTGCAGTGGAATCCAGTAGTTGGTACCAAAGTTTAAAATATTTCCTTAAAGTGCTCACTAAAGCCCAAATAACTACCATCCCATAAACTGCTTGGTTTTACTTTCAGCCATTATCAAAAAATAAAATGTTGAAAAGCTTAAAATAAATTATCCATAGTTCAAGCAGAAAAGGGGGAAAGTAATTATAGATAACCGTTGCAAGACTTCTCACTCTTACTTGACCTCGATTCTTTGTTCGTCAGCGTTGTTGCCTGAAAAACTTCAAAACTGAGAACTCTTAACTACGAGATGATTCTATACGGAAGGACTGAGGGGAGGAAAATTAGTTTCATTGATCTCTATGTTATCTGATTCGAATTAAGATTCCCAGCCTCTTAGCTGAACTTTTATTAGACGCCTTGTCCTACCAATACTTCAATAATAATAGGAGAATAATCTCATCAAATTATATTAATTATACGATTTTCCAATCCTAGAGTAGCCTAATTCCAAATTCAGATAAATTTGAATCTAGGTGTAAAATTCCAGATTAAAGGAAATCAAGCGCATTCATCCGTGAAAATTAATTTAACGTGCTGCCTTAGACAACTGAGCTGACAATTCAAAACAGTTTAAAAAATCTTAAGGAATCAATTGTTAAGAACACGAGATTCTAATCAAGACCCAAGCTTTGTTTTAGAACTGAAATTTTCCAATTAGCTATTTATCTTCACTCAGTGAATATTTTTTGGGAAAACTGGGGTAATTGATTAGGAATTTACCTTTAGCACGATTCGCTGTCTGAACGTTTAACAGTTTAGAATCAACAAATGAAACCAGTGGGAATATGGCCAAAAAGAAGGAAAATGATCAAATCACTTACGTCTGGAATCCACTCTCTTCTCGCTCATGCCTAATTTAACGTAATAGTGCAAATCACAATTTTGTTCTGGTGGTGGTGGTGGTGAGGCCGTTTTGAGAAAGTGAGTGCCAGTTAGCTGCTGCTTAAGGTACACTTTACAATCAAAAACCCGGAAGCGGTTGAATCGAACACGTGCACACGCTCACTAGCACACACACACACAAGTCCGCTTTCTCCCACAGCTATACAAACAAGCTAGAGAGAGAGGTCAAGAAACTACTTTCAATTCATGTGACCCGGTGAAAGTTCACTTGAATGTGGAGAAATTTTAAGCCAATACTCTTATGCTAGAATTGTTCCTAGTTTCGCCTGCCTACGCCATAAGCTACGAGCAAATCGAGGTGACTTTATTTATCTAAATCAACCAGGCATCAGACTCTAAATAATATGGACAATGTATCTCACCGCTAATGTCTTTAAACGCGGACATTAAGGTATTTAAAAATGAAATGCATTTCTTTATGGGTATCAGAGCATTCCAATGCCTTACTAATTTAAATTCTGTATCCCTTAGCTTCCTTGTCCTGCATCTTCTTACTTATCTTCCACATCTTCTGCCTCATTGGAATTGCTTACTTTTCATCATCAGCACCCTTAAAATTTATGTACTTCTAAGGACCTTCCGAATACAAGGTCCATCTCTAGTACACTACTCACTACTTACATTAAAAATGTTAATTTAATTGCTCTAGAGAAACGCTTTTATAAACCTGAGCTATTCTCATTTCGAAGTGTGAATATATACCTTTGACTAAAAAACAGAAAATCAAGAAAGATACAAGAGAGAGAGAAGGAGAGAAAGAGAATAAGGTCAATACAGGAGAGAGAATAATAAGTTGAACATGAAGAAGTTGACAATGAGCGTCAAGGCAGAGTGATCGGATTCTTGGTTGTGACAAAAAGTGCAAATTGGGCTGAATTAAGTTGTATAGTATAGGAAACATAAGCGAAAACCATTATCGAACAGTTGGAACAGTGCAAACATTTGAGTCAACTTTGGGAAGAGTGATATATATATATATATATATATATATATGATCACGTGCGAGCGAAAGCGTCATCTTACCTTAACAAACATAATCCGTTCTCAGTGTGTGATGGAAGGATGGTTATATGCCCTGATCTTGTCAATGCCCAAGCTTCTGAGATTGATTCACCCCGTGTTCAGGAACGTGTGCCCCACCCTCCTCCCCCCC